CCTGAGGCCACCCAGCAGGAGCTACAGAGATATCTGCTGATTCCTCCTCTTTGTTTGGGGTTTGGAAGTGCCCAGATGAGGCACAGCTATGAAGCAATGCAGGCTGCTGACGACCTTAGGCCTTCTTTTGGAAGCTCTGGGGTTCTCTGACCCAGCTACAGTTTGACAGGTTTTTAGGTGGAGAAAGGCTAGGCCATTTGTATGCAAAAGCCTCTGTGCACAGTTTGGGTGGGGTTGTAAATTGGGTGGGGCGGGGTTTCAGGGAATCACGGGGTAGTGCAAACAGCAATGGTTGCCCATAGACCCTGCCCCGGATAGGTCCCTGGGTCTCTGTGTCCTGAGCCCTGTGTGCAGGAACAATGAACGCTGTGAGCACCTCAGAGAAAGCCGCCCTCGTGGTCCGGTCAATGCCAGACAGTCCAGTTTCTCCCCCTATGAGTCTGGGTCCCCAGAGACTCGCCCGGAACTGGAGTTCAGAGCCGTGGGGAGCTTGATACTCCCTCCGGACTGAAGAAGACCTCAGTTGCCAGCCCTTTCCGCGCCTCCGTACTTCTGCACTTTACTTCCACACCTCCTCTGAGTCTCAGTTTGCTTTTCTTTTTCCTTCTAGCTGTAGAATTTTCACTCAGCCAGTCTTCCTGTGGTTCTGGACGATGTCCGTTTTGTCTTTTAGTTGTATTTTTGAAGTGGCTGTGCGAGGCAGCAATTTCAGGTGTTTACCTATGCCGCTATCTTGGTTTCTCGCATTCATGAATTTTTTGAAGTTCCTTTTTAAATAATGTGTGTTAGTTATGTACATGGGTAGTAAACATTATGAATCCTTGCACATGAAAAAATGTTTCTATCTTGTTCTCACATTTGAGTAATAATTTGGCTAGGTAATAGTTTCAAGATCAAAATCATTTCCTCACAACTTTGAAACCACTACTCACTTGTCCTCTAGCATCCAGATGTGTTAATGAGAATTCCAGCACCAACTAGTATCATTCAATTGCTTTTTGTTTTATTCTCTTATTTTCTTTTCTCTATAAGCTTTTAAGCCTTTTACTTCATCATTGAAATTATGTAGGCATGGATCTTTTCACACCTTTCGCTTTATACTGGACAGGTTTTCATCTTGAAAATTCGGAAGTTCCTTCAATTCAGAGGAATTTTTTTATATTATTAAAAAAATTATTTCCTCTTATTTCTTCCTTATGGAATTCTCATTAGACAAATATTGGACCACCTGACATTTAGGTCTCAGTTCTTTTCCTTGCATTTTTCAATTTTTTGTTGTTGTAAATTGTTTAAATTTACTCAGCTTTACCTTTGAAATCATTCATTTGTTTTCACCTTTTCCATTCTACTTGTTATCTGTTCATTAAAATTTTATTTTCCACAGTCATACGTATAATTTCTAGATATTTTTATTGTTTGCTTTTTCCATAGCAATCTGTTCTTGTTTTAAGACTATAATAGGAATTTTATTATTTCTGAGGGTGTACATTTGAATTTTTGATACCTTACGCAGTTTTCTTGATGTATAATTAAAGAACAAGAATGAAAACATTTTAATTATGTAATTTAAATCTTTTTACTGTGTATTTTCACATTTTAATTTTAGGTTGTCTTGGTAGGATTAGAATATTTTCATTCTGGCCCTGTCTGGTTTGGCTCAGTGGCTAGAGCTTTGGCCTGCAGTCTGAAGGGTCCTGGGTTCCATTCCGGTAAAGGGCACATGCTCTGGTCGTGGGCTTGGTCCCCAGTGGGGGGCATGCAGGAGGCAACCGAACATGATTCTCTCTTATCATTGGTGTTTCTGTCTCTCTCCCCCTCTTCCTGCCTCTCTGAAATCAATTAAAAAATTTTTTTAAAAGAATATTTTCATTCTGGATCATGACTTATATGGGGTGTTGGCACATCAGAGAGAGGCTAGAGCAGGGGTGGGCAAACTTTTTGACTCGAGGGCCACAATGGGTTCTTAAACTGGACCGGAGGGCCGGAACAAAAGCATGGATGGAGTGTTTGTGTGAACTAATATAAATTCAAAGTAAACATCATTGCATAAAAGGGTACGGTCTTTTTTTTTTTTTTAGTTTTATTCATTTCAAACGGGCCGGATCCGGCCTGCGGGCCGTAGTTTGCCCACGGCTGGGCTAGAGAGATGTTATATGTTTCCATACAGATTTAGATTAAATATTTTCTCCATTGGTCATCTTTGTCAGTAGATTACCTTCAAGGAAGGCTTCTGCTTCAAATGAGATTGCAGTTTTCTTCAAGTATGAGGGAATTAAAGACCTGTTGCCAATCACGTATGCCCAAGATTGCCTCCAAACTGGAGTCCTGCTATGGGAAGTGGGACAGATCTTAAAGAGGTCCCTGGCAGCAGGTGAGAGGCTGAATCCTTTACAGCCTCACAGTAGAGCACCCCTCAAAGAAAAAAATCTTGTGAAATTTTACCTCATTAAATACTTCATCTTCCTTAACTTGTTTATTGCACCAGAGAAATTGGACTCTGATTTTGAAGTATTTCTTGGCAACCCTACCATTATGGGATATGCATCAGATGCATATTTACTTGAAAACGTTTTACTCCAAATTTAGACTAGGTTTCTAAGTAAGGGATGAAGTAATTATTGGTTCACTTCCAATGAATCCATTTAATGTGTTACAGTCTGTAGATCTGCCTATCTGCAGTGACAATCCAGTACTAGAGTTATATAGCAAGTGCATGATTTATAAAAATAGAGAGGAATTCCCCTGTGTGGAAAAGAAAACACCTTTGCTTCATAGTTGCATTGAAATAAAAACACACACATTTTTATAGTAACAAAACTCAGACTCTTGCCAGAACCGGTTTGGCTCAGTGGATAGAGCGTTGGCCTGCGGACTCAAGGGTCCCAGGTTCGATTCCGGTCAAGGGCATGTACCTTGGTTGCGGGCACATCCCCAGTGCGGGGCGTGCAGGAGGCGGCTGATTGGTGTTTCTCTCTCATCGATGTTTCTAACTGTCTATCCTTCTCCCTTCCTCTCTGTAGAAAATCAATAAAACATATTTTAAAAAAAACAACTTAGACGCTTTCAAATATTAATGAATGTAAAAACTAGTTTTAAAAACTACCAGAGACCCAAGCATAGTTCAGTCAGTAATTGGGGGAAGAATAATTTTCTGATGAAAATGAAAGTATAGAAAATACTTTCTGAGAAAACTATATGAAAATGTTAGCTATAGTTACCACTGAATATTAGATTTATGAATAACTTTTCCCCCTATACTTTTAGAATTTATAGTAAAAATGAACTATTGTAACAATCACACAGATAGTTTAAGGCTGCTTTTTATATTAAAATATTTTAAATTAGGAAAACAAAAAATTATAGGTCCTAGTTTTTTAAATAACTTTTTCTTTCATATGTAAAACAATAAAAATATTTATTTAAAAAAATAATATTAGTTCCAGTTTTATAGTAAGAGTACCAGCTCAGTTAAAGGCCTGGTTTCAAATCTTGGCTCTACTTACTAGTGATAAATTAAAAGAAGATCTATTTTTACTTATCACATTAACAAAGTGTTGGTGATGGGAAAGCAGATACTTTTTTTGTTGTTGGGAGTGCCATCAATTTGGAGGGTAATCTGGCAATAACAAATTTTAAATGTATTTTACCCTTTGATCCAGCAATAATATCTCCAGGAATTTGTTCCTCAACTGCACTTACACACATGTAGAAAAATGCACGTGTAAGATGTTCAATGCAATGTCATTTATACCAGCAAAAACTGGAAACTATCTATTCTCTTATAAGGATCAGGCTAAAAACTTATGATATAATGGATACTATGCAGCATTAAAAGAATTAGGAAGATGTATATGTTCCTGATTGCTAAATAAAAGTAGTATGGCTAAGTGAGTATAGTAATTCTCATTTGTATGTTAGAAAAAAATATTAAAAAACATGTAGCCTTGTAATGCATAGAGCTTGCTCTTATGTATATTTCTTCAAGGAGTTAAGTTAAAGCTTCCATGCTTACTTGCTACTCACCATTTGAGAAATGTGACCCTTTATAAATCTCTGAAGTCTAAAAAGTTTTATTATAGTTATATAAAATATTTGTTAAAGAAAAATATTTTTATCCTACTTCATATCATTAAAAACTCAATACTTTTTTTGTTAAAGATACACTGTTTGACATGTGCTTTTTTACAGGCAGTGAGGTCACTCAAGGAGACAATCGAAGACTGTTGGGACCAGGATGCAGAGGCTCGGCTTACTGCACAGTGTGCTGAGGAGAGGATGGCTGAACTTATGATGATATGGGAAAGAAACAAATCCGTGAGCCCAACAGTCAATCCGATGTCTACTGCAATGCAGAATGAGCGGTAAGACCCACAGGGATTGGCACCCATCAGTCAGTATTGAAAACTGAGACCAAACAGAATAGGAAATAAACATTTTTATCAGTATAATAGTGCAGTGATTAATCCAATCTAAAGTCAAAATTTTTCTTTCAATATTCCTGCTATTTTACTGAAGATTTTTGATATAAATGCAAGATGGAATCTGTGGGGTTTTTAGTATCTTAAAGATACAGTAAAAGAGGTTAGTTTTTCTCTATTAATGCTCCAACTTCCCTACAATAATAAAGCTAAAACATTTTCGTAGTTCCAAAAGTTTATAAGCACTTCCTCAGATATTATATTTATTCTTTGTTATTAATCCTCCTGTCCCTGCTGTTTGTTTGTTTGTTTGTTTAATGAAAATGGAATATGATCTTGCCTACGTATTGAACCTGTTTCATTGGAGACTATTATTTCCAGACTTCTTATCCAATGTTCTTTCTTACAGAATATACTACTACTACTTTTATAGGAGAGCAGTTCATAAGAGCTATGGTGTTTGGTTCTAAATAAAAGGGCTATTTATTTATTTATTTATTTATTTATTTATGCAATCGTGGAAATTTATTGAAGAACAGGTACAGTCTCCCACGTGGGGAAGAGGAAAGAATCTCACAGCACAGACTCGCACGTGGGGAGGGGGAGAGTCCCCTAAAAGGGCTTATTAAAAGATTCCTAAAACTTGGAACTTTCAGACTATATCGCCTGTGTTTCTTTGTTTCACGTTTGGGGAAAAGTGTTCTCACAAATTTGTCATTTTATCTAATATATGTTAAAAATGTTTAGAGAGGCATCAAGGAAAAAGTTACCAGAGAAAATTGAGATAAAAGTATACTTGAGGCCCTGGCAGGGTAGTTCAGTTGGTTAGAGCGTTGTCCTGATAAGCCAGGGTTGCAGGTTTGATCTCCTGGTCAAGGCCCAAACAAAACAAGGAACCAATGAATGCATAAATGGTGGAACAACAAATCTCTCTCTTCCTCCCCCTCTCTCTCTCTCTCTCTCTCTCTCTCTGTGGAACAACAAATCTCTCTCTTCCTCTCTCTCTCTCTCTCTCTCTCTCTCTCTCTTTCCCCTCCCTTCTTCCCTCCCTCCCTCCCTCTCACCCTCCTCCCTTCTCTCCCTTCCCCTTCCCCTTCTTTCTAAAAAAGCAATCAATAAATAAAAAAATACACCTGATTCTTGAATAATTTTCTGTGCTCTTTTCTATTCCAATTTTAAGAGCAATTTGAATAGGCCTCAAATTGGGTTTACACTACTTAAAATTAGGTAAATTAACTTTAGCATATAAACACTTATGCTTTATATATCAGCCAGTCAAAGAAGGTCGAGACTAGCAATTCTAAGTATACATTTTCTCACTTTGTACATACCTAAAGGTAGATAATCTGCTTTCTTCTCACCTTATCTTTGTCTTATCTGTGTGCTCTAGTATGCTATTTGTCTCTCTCTCAAGAGTCAGCTACTTTTAAGTGTTTTTGAACTTTTCTTGAATTTTAAGAAGAAACCCTTGATGCTCCCCTTTGCTTTGCCATTTTTTTTGCCTTTTGTGTCATTTAGTTCTACTCCTTACATGCGTTCTCTCATGCCCTGTCACTTCTAAGTAGTTTCCCCTAAATAGAAGTTCATGCCATCATATTCCACTCTAGGTTTCATTGTATTGACTCTTACCCTCCATACCTCCTAGACTTCCTTTTCTTTTTTTTCTTTTATTTATTTATTTATTTATTTATTTATTTATTTATTTTTTAATTAAATCTTTATTGTTCAGATTATTACATTTGTTCCTCTTTTTTCCC